AGCCATAAGACATCCAATTTGCAGTTTGTGAGAAGCCATGTGGGTGACACAGCAAATATGTGGAAGAAGGTGCTCTGGTCAGACGAGACCAAAATTGAACTTTTTTGGCCTAATAGCAAAATGCTATGTGTGAAGGAAAACGAACAATGCACATCACCCTGAAAACATCATGCTCACTGTGAAATATGTTGGTGGCAGCATCATCTTGTGGAGATGCTTTTCTTCAGTAGGGACGGGAAAGCTGGAGGGAGCCAAATACAGGGCAATCTTAGAAGAAAACCTGTTAGAGTCTGCAAAAGACTTGAGACTGGGGAGGAGGTTCATCTTCCAGCAGGACAACGACCCTAAACATACAGCCAGAGCTACAATGGAATGGTTTAGATCAAAGCATATTCATGTGTTAGAATGGCCCAGTCAAAGTCCAGACCTAAATCCAATTGACAATCTGTGGCAAGACTTGAAAATTGCTGTTCACAGACGTTCTCCATCCAATCTGACAGACATTTGCAAAGAAGAATGGGAAAAAAAATTAACTCTATTTGCAAAAGCTGGTAGAGACATACCTAAAAAACGTGCAGTTGTAAATGCAGCAAAAAGTATTTCTACAAAGTATTGACTCAGGGGGGCCGAAAACAAATGCATGTCACACTTTTCAGATATTTATGTGTACAAAACATTTTGAAAACAATTTATCATTTTCCTTCCACTTCACAATTATGTGCCACTTTGTGTTGGTCTATCACATAAAATCCACAAGAAATACATTTATGTTTTTGGTTGTAACATGACAAAGTGTGGACAATTCCAAGGGGTATGAATACTTTTTCAAGGCACTGTATATACTCTCAGTACACAATGTACTAAATGTAGCCTGTTCATCCAATACATATACAGAGTCCATTTGCATGAGTGCAACAGCTATAATTGTTACGTAGTGCTAAATGTGCTATACAGATGATACAGTCTTCTCATTGTAAAGGTCCTAAAGGTCACTAGTGGGGATAAATTGTGAAAAATTTTAAGTGACATATGGTAATGTAAACCTTTTATCTGTCTGGAAATAGTTTGTTACAACGCAGTCAAATAGATAAGCCTGCAAGCTATGTTTATCAAATTCCAAACATTGGTTGATATTAGTTATGAGATTACTTGGTCATGATAAGGTCATACTGTATATTTTTTGACTGCCTCTGTACTTGTGTAAAAAATGTTGTACCACAACCTAAAACCGTATGCCTTCTATTACACATAAAAGAAGATGCATATGTTGTACTTAAAAACTCACTTTTTCTGTTGCACACCATTGTTTCAAAATTATTATTATTATACAGTATTTATATAGTGCCAAAAAGTTTGCTCAGCGCTGTACAATATAGTGGGGGACAGTACATGAGACAATACGGTAACAAAACAATATACGAGAGGTTTGAGGGCCCTGCTCTTTCGAGCTTACAATCTAGAAGGGAGGGGGATAGTGGTACAGGAGGAAGTGGCTGTGGGGGATGGAGTGGTAGGAGGAGTAGAGGAGATCGGCTTCCCTGAAGAGGTGGGTTTTCAGGGTGCGCCTGAAGGTGAGGAGGGTAGGTGACAGTCTGATGGATTGGGGTAGTGAGTTCCAGAGGATGGGGGGAAGTCCTGGAGAAGTCCAGCAGTTAGGCATGGGAGGAGGAGACCAGGAAGCTAGAAAGTAGGAGGTCTTGTGAGGAGCGAAGAGTACGGGTTGAGTGGTATTTGGGTATCAGGTCGGTGAGGTAGTTTGGGGAAAATGCAATCAAAACATCTATATAAATTTACACAGCTTTTACTTTCTAACTGCCTATTGCATTTCATTTGCATGGAAGATTTTATTTTTTTGCCACTAATTTTTGAAAAATAAAACCTTTTTTTTTTTACACAAAGTTGTCAATTACATGATATATTGCTCACACATGCCATGGCAATATGTGGTATAATACCCCAAAAAACATTCTGCTACTTCTTCCGAGTATGGGGGATACCACGTGCCTTTTTGGCAGCCTAGCCACATACAGGCCCCTAAAATCCAATGTTTACATTCAGGCTTTCAAAGGGCATGTTTCCTCAAGTCACTTCCTCACTACCTGAAATGCCAAGATAGAACAAACATTAAACCCCCCCCCTCCCAAATGGCCCCTTCTTGGAAAGTAGATACCCCAAGGAATTTGATAACATGCATGGTGAGTATTTTGCAGATATAATTTTTGTCACAGGGTTTTGAGGAAGAAAAGAAAAAATACATTTTCGTTTTCTTTCTTCATTTTCCAAAAACCTGTGGCAACAAATGAGATTTGCAAAATACTCACCATGCCCCTTAGCAAATACCTTGGAGTGTCTACTTTCCAAAAAGGGGTCATTTAGGTGGGGTGGGGGTTCTTCTACTATCCTGGCAATTCAGGGCCAACATTAGACGCTTATGCCACACATCACCCACTCTTCTAACCACTTGAAGGCCAAGCCTTTTCTGACAGTTTTTGTTTACATGAAAAACCATATTTTTTGAACCCCCAAACATATATATTTTTTTAACCATTTGCCAAATGCCCCACAGCGGCCGCGCTGTGCAGAATCATGTACAGTGGATATAACAAATCTACACACCCCTGTTAAAATGTCAGGTTTCTGTGATGTAAAAAATTAGACAAAGATAAATCATTTCAGAGCTTTTTCCACCTTAAATATAGCCTATAAACTGTACAACTCAGTTGAAGAAAAAACTGAAATCTTTTAGATGGATGGAAGTAATAATAGAAAACTAAAATAATATGGTTGCATCAGTGTGCACACCCTTAAACGAATACTTTGTTGAAGCAACATTCGATTTTATTACAGCACTCAGTCTTTTTGGGTAGGGGTATCAGCATGGCAATAGTTGCCCACTCTTCCTGGCCAAAAAACACTCCAAATCTGTCAGATTGCAAGGGAATCACCTGTGCACAGCCCTCTTCAGATCACATCACAGATTTTCAATCGGATTCAGGTCTGGGCTCTGGTGAAGCCATTCCTTTGTTGATTTGGATGTATGCTTTGGTCGTTGTCATTCTGAAATATGAAGTTCCTCTTCATGTTCTGCTTTCTAGCAGAAGCCTGAAGGTTTTGTGCCAATATTGACTGGTATTTGGAAATGTTCATTCAATTCCCTCTATCTTGACTAAGGCCCCAGTTCCAGCTGAAGAAAAATAGCCCCAAAGCATGATGCTGCCACCACCATGCTTCAGTGTGGGTATAGTGTTCCTTTGGTGATGTGCAGTGTTGTTTTTGTGCCAAACATATCTTTTGGGATTATGGCCTAAAAGTTCAACCTTGGTTTCATCAGACCATAACACATTTTCCCACATGCTTTTGGGAGACTTCAGATGTGTTTTTGCAAATATTAGCAGAGTTTGAATGTTTTTCTTCTTAAGAAAAGGCTTCCGTCTTGCCACTCTACCCCACAGCCCAGACATATGAAGAACACAGGAGATTGTTGTTTTGTACCACACAACCAGTACTTGCCAGATATTCCTGCAGCTCCTTTAATGTTGCTGTAGGCCTCTTGGCAGCCTCCCAGAACAGTTTTCGTCTCGTCTTTTAATCAATTTTAGAGGTATGTCCGGTTCTTGGTAATGTCACTGTTGCACCATATTTTCTCCACTTGATGGCTGTCTTCACTGTGTTCCATGGTATATCTAATGCCTTGGAAATAATTTTGTACCCTTCTCCTGACTGATACCTTTTAACAATGAGATCCCTTTGATGCTTTGGAAGCTCTCTGCGGAAAATGGCATTTGCTATAGGATTCAACTAAGAAAATGTCAGGAAAGACCTACTAGAACAGCTGAAGTTTATTTGGGGTTAATCAGAGGCTCTTTAAAATGATGGCAGGTGTGTGCTGACTCCTATTTAACATGATTTTTAATGTGATTGCTTAATTCTGAACACAGCTACATCCCCAGTTATAAGAGGGTGTGCACACTTATGCAACCACATTATTTTAGTTTTTTATGTTTACATGTACATACACACAGACACATGTACATGCATACATAGACGTACATACGCAGACACATGTACACATACACACACCCATAAAACATTGCAGTACTTTGTTGTTCACGCACAGAGCCGGGTACTGCACTCTAGGGGGAGGCAGAGAGCACAGCACACACTCCCATTTGCTTTCACTGCGCTCAAGTAATGAGCAGTCTGACGGCCCCCAGTGCCAAGATCTGGCCTGAGCTCCAAGCCTGCTCAGCAAGACGGCCCTGAGGAACACACTCGCCCCCCACCATAATTTCCACTCGCCATTGGCGAGCAGGCGAGTGGAGATTTCAAGCCCTGGTCTAGGAGACTGACAGAACATAGCTCTGGCTATGTAAACAAAGCACAGCTGTGTTCTATCAGTGGCAATGTGCTGGATTCTCTTTCCCTGCAAGCAGGGAATAGAATTCAGCACATTATCTAGTGAAAACAGGACTCATAGTAAACATTACACATAGCTAGGCACACAGTTAACCCCTTGATCACCCTAGATCAGTGATGGCGAACCCGTGACACGCGTGCCACAGCCGGCACGCCGAGCCTTATCTGTGGGCACGCCAGGAGAATCCAGCGGCGCGCTGTCTTCCCGGCTGTAGTGTGCGTGACAGCCGGGTCCCAAGTGCGCATGCACAAGAAGCAGTGCTCTTTGTGAATGGTAAGGCGGTACCTGGGACACATGACAGATCCCAGAAGCCGCCGGACCAATCACAAAGCGCAGCGCTTCTCGCGCATGCGCACTGGGCATCCGGCTGTCCGACGAGCGCCCACACTACAGAAGCCGGGGAAGACAGCGCGCGGCTGGATAAAGGAACAGGTAAGATAAAAAAAAAACTCTGCGGAAGTAAAAATTCAGTCAAATTCAGGTACCCGCTCCCCCTCCCTCCCCAAAGGTCAGCAGTCATCTCTGTACTGTCCGCAGTCTCTGGTCATCCCTGTGCTGTCCGCAGTCTCTGGTCATCCCTGTGCTGTCCGCAGTCTCTGGTCATCCCTGTGCTGTCCGCAGTCTCTGGTCATCCCTGTGCTGTCCGCAGTCTCTGGTCATCTCTGTGCTGTCCGCAGTCTCTGGTCATCCCCTGTACTGTCCGCAGTCTCTGGTCATCCCCTGTACTGTCCGCAGTCTCTGGTCATCCCTTTGCTGTCCGCAGTCTCTGGTCATCTCCTGTACTGTGTCCGCAGTCTCTGGTCATCCCTGTACTGTGTCCGCAGTCTCTGGTCATCTCCTGTACTGTGTCCGCAGTCTCTGGTCATCCCTGTACTGTCCGCAGTCTCTGGTCATCCCTGTACTGTCCGCAGTCACTGGTCATCCCTGTACTATGTCCGCAGTCTCTGGTCATTTCCTGTACTGTCCGCAGTCACTGGTCATCCCTGTACTGTCCGCAGTCACTGGTCATCCCTGTACTGTGTCCGCAGTCTCTGGTCATCTCCTGTACTGTGTCGCCGCAGTCTCTGGTCATCTCCTGTACTGTGTCCGCAGTCTCTGGTCATCCCTGTACTGTCCGCAGTCTCTGGTCATCCCTTTACTGTGTCCGCAGTCTCTGGTCATCCCTGTACTGTGTCTGCAGTCTCTGGTCATCCCTGTACTGTGTCTGCAGTCTCTGGTCATCCCTGTACTGTGTCCGCAGTCTCTGGTCATCCCTGTACTGGTCAGTCCCTGTACTGTGTCCGCAGTCTCTGGTCATCCCTGTACTGTCCGCAGTCTCTGGTCATCCTGTACTGTCCGCAGTCTCTGGTCATCTCCTGTACTGTCCGCAGTCTCTGGTCATCTCCTGTACTGTGTCCGCAGTCTCTGGTCATCTCCTGTACTGTGTCCGCAGTCTCTGGTCATCTCCTGTACTGTGTCCGCAGTCTCTGGTCATCTCCTGTACTGTGTCCGCAGTCTCTGGTCATCTCCTGTACTGTGTCCGCAGTCTCTGGTCATCTCCTGTACTGTGTCCGCAGTCTCTGGTCATCTCCTGTACTGTGTCCGCAGTCTCTGGTCATCTCCTGTACTGTGTCCGCAGTCTCTGGTCATCTCCTGTACTGTGTCCGCAGTCTCTGGTCATCTCCTGTACTGTGTCCGCAGTCTCTGGTCATCTCCTGTACTGTGTCCGCAGTCTCTGGTTATCCCTGTACTGTGTCCGCAGTCTCTGGTCATCCCTGTACTGTCCGCAGTCTCTGGTAATCCCTGTACTGTGTCCGCATTCTCTGGTCATCCCTGTACTGTGTCCGCAGTCTCTGGTCATCCCTGTACTGTCCGCAGTCTCTGGTAATCCCTGTACTGTGTCCGCAGTCTCTGGTCATCCCTGTACTGTGTCCGCAGTCTCTGGTCATCCCTGTACTGTCCGCAGTCTCTGGTCATCCCTGTACTGTGTCCGCAGTCTCTGGTCATCCCTGTACTGTGTCCGCAGTCTCTGGTCATCCCTGTACTGTGTCCGCAGTCTCTGGGCATCCCTGTACTGTGTCCGCAGTCTCTGGGCATCCCTGTACTGTGTCCGCAGTCTCTGGGCATCCCTGTACTGTGTCCGCAGTCTCTGGTCATCCCTGTACTGTCCGCAGTCTCTGGTCATCCCTGTACTGTCCGCAGTCTCTGGTCATCCCTGTACTGTGTCCGCAGTCTCTGGTCATCCCTGTACTGTGTCCGCAGTCTCTGGTCATCCCTGTACTGTTAATTAGTTTGCACTACTGTACGAGTTGTTTTTTCTAAACCAAAAGCTCGATATTCAGGTTTCATTGCAGTGTTGGCACTTTGAAAGAAATAAGTTGGTTTTGGGTTGCAGTTTGGGCACTCGGGCTCAAAAAGGTTCGCCATCACTGCCCTAGATGTTTAACCCCTTCCCAGCCAGTGTCATTAGTACAGTGTCAGTGTATATTTTTAGCACAGATCACTGTATTAGTGTCACTGGCTCCCACAAGGTGCTAGTTAGTGTCGGATTGTCCACTGCAATATCACAGTCCTGCTATAAGTCGCTGATTGCCGCCATTACTACTACAAAAACAAATTAAAATTTAAAAAGTCCAGTATATATACTGGAAGATAGATGCTGGTAGATGCTATAACTTTTGAGCAAACCAATCAATAGAAGCTTATTGGGATTTTTTTTTTTTAGCAAAAATATGTAGCAGAATACATGTTGGTGTAAATTTATGAAGCAATTTGATTTTTTTATTGGATATGTTTTTACATCAGAAAGTAAAAAATAGTTTTTTTTTCAAAATGTTTGGTCTTTTATTTATACCGCAAAAAAAACAAAAACCCAGATTTGATCAAAATGACAAAATTTTATTTATGTACAGCACTGCATGACTGGGCAACTAAAATAACGAAGTGCTATATCTCAAAAAATGGCCTGGTTGGGAAGGGGGGGGGGGGGGGGGGTAAATCTTCTGGAGGTCAAGTGGTTAAAGCAGAGGCCCTAGAGAATAAAACAGTGACGGGTACTCTTTTCTGAGAAATCTGGGGTCTATTGGACTCTAGATCTCTCCTCTACCCTTAAAGCATCTGATCAAACCAAGATATGTGATCTGATGCTTTCCCAATTTTAAAATGTATATTTGGCAAAACCGAAATGATGAAATGATCATAGCTTTCAGTTTCATAAATCAAGGAGATGATTGGAGCCATTCCAGTCTCTGATCAACTCTATGGTCAGCCGGAAGAACTGCAGGCTGCATTCTCCGGTTCCCCGGTGGGATGGGAAAGCCTGTGAAAGCCATGGAAGGGGAGGGGATGTCCCTTCCTGCTACTTGTTAAAGCAATCTAGTGGTTAATTAGCCACTAGGATTGTTCTTACATGGAAGCTGACTACCAGCTGAAAAAAACAATACCAGGATGATGCCTGTAGCTGCAGGCATCACCCTGATATAACCACTCAAAGTCCAGTGACATACCAGTACATTGCTGGTCCTTGTAGGGCATATATGTAACAGCAGAGAACATGGACATATGGTGAATTGGGTTTGTGGACCAATATGACCGCAAATCATTCTTTTTTGTAATGAGGGATGTTGAGGGTTAGGCCCAAAAAGTTTTACATCCGGAAGCTGTGATAGGTTTCCATGTGAATTGTTTGGCCAGAGCTCAATTTGGGTGGGTGGCGATGTATTGTTGCGTGTATAAATTGCTTTGGCCTACAATCAATTAATACAATGAATGGATATATTAACAAGTTCCTCCTGCGCTTCTATGGAGTCTCTACCACTCTTAAGGCTGCTAGCACTTAATACTGGAACCTACAAACAGTACACGATATACAAGTCAAAATTAGTGCAGCGCTATAAAGTGCATAAGAAATACATCAATAGAGTCACAAAGTGGATTTTGTAAAATAAAGTGGCACACGTGCTCAATATTCATGCAAATAAACAGGTGATGTGCCACTCAATGATATCAAATAAATAATACTACTATAACTGTATTGAAAAAAATACCATATACCAATAAGAATGCTTCACACTGCAAGCCGTAATCAGTGAATACACAGTGACAAATAACAGAGGCTAGTACAGTTCATAAAACGTAATCCGTGCTTCACTCATAGGACAATACATGCAAGTGACCCCAACGCATGTGAGATTCCGTGAAGGTGTCAGTCCTCCTATGGCTAGAATGCCCCCTCACCTTAAATCAATGGCCCAGTGGACCATCACGCTTTTAAGATCATACAAAGATCTTACTCCAAAAATGGATATCCTCAGCAGACCTTCTGTGGACCCCTCCGTAATAGGCAAGTATACAGGACACTCAGGGTACTTGGCAGCCACTAGATATATCTCTCATCATGAAAATGATGAGCACAGAAAGAACTTTCCATAGTGTAGTATTTAAATAGAAATGAGTAATTTATTGTCAACAACTATTACTCACATGTAGTAGTAATTACAGTAGTCTTCCATATGTATGGACACATACATTGAAAATCTGTGGAGGGAGCTGAAAGTTCGAGTTGCCAAACATCAGCCACCAAACCTTAATGACTTGGAGAGGATCTGCCAAGAGGGGTGCGCCAAAATCCCTCCTGAGATGTGTGCAAACCTGGTGGTCAACCACAGGAAACGTCTGAGCTCTGTGATTGCCAACAAGGGATTTGCTACCAAGTACTAAGTCATGTTTTGTGAAGGGGATCAAATACTTATTTCCCTCATTCAATTTTTAGACTGATCATTTCTTTGTGAGTGGGCAAAAATTCAAAATCAGCAGGAGATCAAATACTTATTTCCTTCACTATATATATATATATATATATATATATATATATATATATATATATATATATATATATATATATATATATATATATATATATATATATATATATATATATATATAAAATCATCTTAGTCCACAGGTAAAATATTTAGGTAAAAGTGGTCATGGTGCCAGGTGCTTAGGTATACTTCAGCACCCCCAAAAATGCACAGTCAGAATCCCTTAATATAAAGTCCTGAAAGAGGGGACATGTCTGTGCAGTCAGCATAGTAATCCCCCAGCTCCTGATACTTTCTTTATAGTTCCAGCAAGCTGCTGGGGCTCAGGATTGGCCACTTCAGCAAACCAATATGCCCTGGGCTAGAACAACAATTATGTTCTGGCACAAGGGGGAAATAAAGGAAGAGCTTGAGGCATGAGATTGGAAAGAAGCTGATACCCAGCCATCAGAGGAACCAAATTCAGGTTACTTACAAGAAAGTATTTCAAGAGGGCTTTTTTTGCAGACCCTGGTTGCCTAGCATATTAGTAATATAGTAAAAGAAGCCAAAAAGTAAATATAAAAAGAGTTTTTTCTTTGATTTCTATAGAATCAGATTGTTGTGCTTTCAAAGTTATTTTAATTCTTGATGCAGCTTGTATGCTCCATCCCTTCATCCTGTTCAGATGTGCTGTACTTTTGATTCTTGTGGATATTTTCTTATGAACAGAGCCAACATTTATGTTGAATAACGTCATGTACTGCAGAACTGCTGATGGTCTGTTTATAGTTTTTGGCATGGTATAATGATGGTGGGTATTATTTCTACTGGTTACCATTGCTAGTCCTGACACAAGCTGGATGTTGTCATTGCTGGTCCCGACACATACTGGGGGTTATTACTGGCCCTGACACATACTGAGGGTTATTAACGCTGGTGCTGACACTGATTGCAGGGATTATTATTACTAAACTTTCTTCAGTGTATCCTCAGACCTTATTTTGTCTAAACTATAGCAATGCAATATCCATGTTACTGACCATATCCACAACCTACATTTTTCTCTGTCTTTCCTTCAAGGCAAGTGGTAGTCAGTCGGCTGCATTTTCGGTTCAAGGAGTCACTTCTAATTCTTCTCAAATGCTGGTAACTATGGTTAATTTAGTCCAATGACACCAATTATTAAAATGATTTTTGTACTTGCTGAATAGCAATGTAAAGGACACTATTACAGTTGTGTCCAAAATTATTCAACCCCCAATGCTGTAAAGGGGTTTAGGGACTATAGTGTACATTTGGAATTGTATTCAGAATCAAATCCTACAAGGACGTTGTAACTACCCAAATGCAACTAAAATGACATCAATTGTTTATGTAATACAGTAGTAAATGGTTCTTATGTGGTTTCTTCA